TAACTCATTTATTTTTTTAAATTTCTGAATTGAATTGAATTGAATTGAATCGAAATAAAATTAAATCGAAATAAAACTCAGTTATAACTGAATTGAATCGAAATAAAATTAAGTCACAAATATGACTGATTTTTAAAAAATTGACCAACCCGAGGTCTGGCTAGCCGACACCAAACCAAATGACCGAATGTCAACTGTTATTAAGCACACACACAAAAAAACTGGAAACAAAGGATGACTTGTATCACTTAATTATATCATTCTTGTAAACTTTAATTATTATATGTATATAAAAGGAGAGAAAGTGAGTGGAAACGATATGAAGGAGAAAAGTTGTATTATTAACTTCGCTTACATCATAAAAGAAAGATGTTCCTCTATTTATAGGGAGGATGGTAGTTACAAAGAAAAGGTTGTTATTATCACACGTAAGCAAATGAGGGATATGTGAAAATTGAGGTGGAGAATCATTTATAAAACACTCCCTCCCTCTTGAGTATCCATTACTAATAATATATTACGTATTGCCTCGTTAGAAATCTTATCATGAAAAAATCCAATGAGATAAAAACTATGACAAAAAAGAGTATAGTAACGTAATCTTCCTCTAGAAATGATGGATATAAATTTCTTTTATAGGTCTCGTAGTCGGCGCATTCCAATACTATGAACATGTTTTCTAAGTGAGAAACGCATTTGTAAAAAGATCTGCTGCAGTGTCGCTCGAGCGAACGTATTGGATAAACTTCTTGATTCTTCTCAAGTTCTTGAGTGTTAGAGAAAAGTCTTGGAGGAATATGTTTTGTTCAATCACTCTTGATGAAGTCTTCCTTGAGTTGAGCGACACATGCAGCATTATCTTCGAACACTTTTGTTGGTTCCGTATCAATGACTATTCCACTTGCACCGTGTATATGTTGAGTCATAGATCGGAGCCATATGCAGTCTCTACATGCTTCATGGAGAGCAATGATTTCCGCATAATTTGAAGAAGTGGCGACCAAAGTCTGTTTTTTAGAACGCCACGAGATCGCTGTTCCACCAATTGCGAAAACATATTTGCGATCGAGCTTTATGCGGATCTGATAAATATCCTGCATCTGCAAACCAACTATACCAACTTCGGAGTTTCTAGGATAAAATAAACCCAGATCAATCGTACCTTGGAGATAACAAAAGATATGCTTTATCCCATTCCAATACCTGCACGTAGGAGATGAACTATATCTTGCAAGTAGATTAGTAGCAAAATCTATATCTGGTCGAGTACAATTTGCAAGATACATAAGCCCACCGATAGCGCTCATATAAGGTACTTCATGACCTAATACATTTTCGCTATCTTCACAAGGTCAAAATGGATCCTTGTTAATATCAAGTGATCTATTGACCATTGGAGTACTCAAAGGAGTTGATTTATCCATTTTAAAGTGTTTTAACACCCTTTTGGTGTAATTTGATTGATGCACAAATATTCCGTCTTGGAAATGCTCAATCTGGAGTCCTAGAAATTTTTTTGTCTTTCCAAGATCTTTCATTTCGAACTCTTCTTTCATGTGAGTTCTTGCATCATCAATCTCCTTTTGAGTTTTGATTATGTTCAGCCATTCCTTGTGATGTTATCGCACCGCCGATTGACACTAGTCCTTCGCTTGCACCACCTTTGTTTCCTCCGACTCCTCTATCACCACCAACTCCTTCATCATTGGCTCCTCCAGCTCCTGCAGTTGCTCCGGCTCCACCAACTCACTCGCACTCGATGGTCATGCAAGCTAAAGCTGGAGTTTGCAAGCCCACTCAACGACTTTGCCTTCACACCACCGTCGTTTTTCCACTTCTCTCTTGTCACGGCAAAACACCCTTATTCGAATGGTGCTATGAATGATGAATATGATGCTTTTATTAAAACAGGAACGTGGTCTTTAGTACCACGGCCTCCGAATACTAATGTTGTTCGTTACAAATCTCGCTTCATTGCTAATGGGATGTCTCAGCAAGAAGGCATCGATTGTGATGAGACATTTAGTCTAGTGGTGAAGTCTGCGATGATATGCGTAGTTCTTGGTGTTGCTACTTCTCGCAGGTGGGCTCTCCATCAATTGAATGTCAAGAATGCGTTTCTACATGGAGATCATAAAGAGACCGTCTATATGCACCAACCACTAGGCTACCGTGATCCTTCCAAATCTGATCATGTTTGCTTATTATATCGCTCGTTATACGGCTTAAAGCAGGCACTTCTCACTTGGTACACCAGGTTTGCAGTCTATGCTCGCTGCATTGGTTTCCGCCAAAGCCTCTCGGACCCGTCTCTTTTCATCTTTAGCCGTGGTGTGAAGACAGCTTATCTCCTCTTGTACGTCAACGATATTATTCTTACAGCATCTACCACATCTTTCTTGCGTTGGATTATTTCTTCTCTTACCTCCGAGTTCTCCATGACTGATATGGGACCATTGCATCACTTTCTTGGCATTAGTGTGGTCTATAACGACAAAGGACTATTCCTTCATCAACAAAACTATGCTGCTGACCTCCTTCACAGTGCTCGCATGATGGAGTACAATCCTTGCAATACACCCATTGACACGTCGACACCAAGTCCAAAGTCGGCGCTGATGATGGTCCACCGGTCTCTGATCCCACACCCTACCATAGTCTCGCTAATGCTCTCCAATATCTCACGTTCACTCGTCCCAAAATCTATTATGCTATTAATCAAATCTATCTCTATATGCATGACCCACAAGAATCTCATCTCAATGCCTTGAAGCCTATTCTTTGCTACGTCAAAGGTACAATCTCTCATGGTCTGCAGTTATATCGCTCCATTTTGACAGGTCTGGTTGCCTATTCTGATGTAGATTGGGCGGGATATCCTACCACGAGACGATCCACATCCGGCTACTGCATTTTTCTTGGAGACAATCTTATTTCTTGGTCCTCCAAACTCCAACAGGCTATCTCCCGATCAAGTGCTGAGGCTGAATACTGTGGCATGACAAATGCGGTTGCTGTGCTCTCCTGGCTTTGCTCTCTCCTTGGTAAACTTGGTGTCCATCTATAGCGCGCATCTGTTGTGTTTTGTGATAACGTCAGTTCTGTTTATCTCTTGTCTAATCCAGTTCAAGCTCATAGAGATCGACATTCACTTTGTTCGTGAGAAGGCTTTTATCAGTCAAGTGAAGGTAGTTCATGTTCCCTCTGCTCTACAACTCACTGACATTTTCCCCAAAAGCCTTCCGGTAACGTTATTTAATGATTTTTGCTCCAGCTTGAGCATCCGGCGACCTCCTGCTCCAACTTCAGGGGAGTGTTAGAATATAGGAATATAAATTATTTCCTAATTCTTGATAATTTCAAATCTATATAGAATATATTTACTTGTAGAGCACTCTTGTACAGCCTATATAAAGGCCTTGATGACTACCATAACTCTCTACGGAGATTACAATCTTACAAAGACAAACAGTGTTGTTAGAGTTGAAATCCAAGGAATGGAAGCGTATGAGGGTCATAGAGTTCACACAGTTCTTAACCATATAGAGAACTCGAAGTTTATTAAAGAGTTTTAGAACTTTGTAACTTGAAGATTCTTGTAAGATAGCCAGATTGGCTCTTGAATTTTCATCACAAGGATCATATATGGAATCTTAATTGATTTCCCTTCTCTTTCTACTGGTTTGTGTGATTTTCAACTTTTCTTGGCTTATTTGATTACTATTTTTCTTTTCATGGATACTCTATGCATCCCCTTGTTCAGTGGTTTATATAGTAATGCTTGTTCTTAGCTAAAAGTTATTTATCGCATCTAGTAGATTAAACTTGGAAAAAAAACTGTGTAAGGTGATGCGGTAACGTAGCCGAGACAGTGAATCACATCTTATTCCGATATGTTATGTATGGGCACTCTCTCTATGTGTTGGTTTTGGGTCCAGAGTTTCCGAATAGAGTCTCAGAGTCTGGTGTAGGCGATGAAATGTGTCAAGAATCTAGGCTATAAAGATATCATTTCTGCCTTATCCAATCAAGACTTTATGAATGACTACAAAGCCCTTAATTTACTCAAGACTGAAATATGCTCGTCTCAAACCTAGTGAAGCGTCAGATGTATAAGTTTTTGATCGTCTTAACTTTACCACAATAGTACAAATAAAAATCTAATTGTCAGAATATTACAACGTTTGAGAAAATTGCAAAAATAGTTTTTTTTGGTAAAGTTTTTAGGTTTAGGGTTTAGGGCTTTTTACCCAAAAACCTAAACTTTTAAAACTAAAACCTAGATCTTAAAAAACTGAATCCTAATCGTTAAATCTTTATAAAAATTTCTGAAAAAGACTATGTCAACTATTAATTTTCCCAAAACTATATTATATTGACATTTAGTTGGTAACTTGATACTATTCTAGACTATTTCCTCTTGATTGTAAGTGTAGTGTATCCGTACAGGCTAATAATACCGTCTAGCAAAATAGAGATCATCAATGAAATGGAATTGTTGTCAAGGTATAAAAAAACTGAGTGGTCGCATCAGTGAAATTAGTTGTTTTGTAATTTATAATGTTAACTTTAATAGATATTGAAAAGGCCAGGTACTTGGTTTGTAAGAAGACTGGGTAGCCAGCCACTAATTCATCAATAACAATAAGCTTACGAATGCATAAATATAAATAAACAAACAGAACACAGTGTTTTTACATTATATTTTTACATATTAATTACACTAAAGTCACAACACTTGGAATGTAACTCAGTCTTTGGGAAAATTCTATAATCTTTGGTTGAGGAAACTTCAACTTTTAGAAAAGGTTCAAATACTGATTTTCTCTAATAGGGGTGAATCCTTGATTTTATCCGAGGCCAACCGTCTCAAGACAATTGTGAATTCGGATGGTAATTTTCAAAACTAAAATTATCCATTAGAGTAATCAGACATATTTTTAATTCATAACAGAATTAAATTTTATTTGAAACAGTTTTCACTATAAAAAAGTGTTGAACAGAGCATTCTTTAACCATCTATGTTGTTGCTGTCTTCGTTAACAACCAAAAGCATTAAGAAATAGGGAAAGTAGAAGATGTGTCTGAGAAAGCCTTGTCTGGTAGACGAGAATGCGTAAGGAATGATAAGAAGCATTAGGAGTATAAAGAAGACCGAATCTATGGCTAATACAAAATGGGAAAGCCATGGGAGATCGCTCACCACGAGTGTAACTCCAGCCACAAATGCCATCGCCATAGAGACAAGAGCGGTTGTAAGAAGTGGTAAAGCTAGTTCAAAAGCTTTCTTTGTCAGAAGAACATCACCCAGCTGTGCCCAGATAAGAGCCATTATAGTTACCATAGAAGAGCACATTGCAATACTGTTGAACAAGAGAAAAACCTTGAAATTCATTTCATTGACCAGTGCAGCCATGCCTTGATCTGGAGCAGAACTGATGTAACCACCGGGTAATGTAAAACCTGCAGTGAAGGTCACAGTTGCTACGAGTGCTGCAGTCACCATAAGAGTATTGACACTATCCTTATATTTTTCTGGATTTTGTATGTGACTCTGTTTCAAGGGAATCGGTTTCTGACCATTTGGTGCACCAGCAGATACCAAAGCCATCCAAGTCAATCTCTGTGTAACCCAAGAAAAGAAGTTATATGAGAGTTTTATATATATTGTCCATAGGAGATATAAAGAATGTGTTTTGCATCTATAAAGTTTGGCATACCTTGTGAAGTACGTAAGTATCGTCCTTCAACGCTTGAGCAATATCTAGAGCTGTAAAACCATCATTGTTCAGTGTTGTGAGGTTAATCCCATGGTTCCATGTAAAAATATTCACAACCAACGGGTGTCTGTGTTTCGTGGCCAGGTGTAACGGTGTATTTCCATCAACGTCTTGTTCATGCATCATTCTTTTATGTTCATCAAGTTGTAGGAGATACTTGACAACTGTCGACTTACCAGTTTTCGCAGCAACATGAAGAATATTCTGACATTGACTGTTAAGTAGCTCTATTGAGTCAGGACAATGCTTAATAAACTCTTTTATGATCCTGACATGTCCTTCTTTTGCTGCCATATGAATCGGAAAGAATCCATCATCATCAGCAACATAACAGACACTTGAAGCTGCTTTGTCAAACTCTGATAATATATAGCGAATTCCCTCATAAAATCCTATTGATGCTCCAAATGAAAGACATGTTCTTCCTTCTTCTTTGCGTAATTCAACAAGTCCTGGATCTTGACTAAGAATAATACCAAGGATATCTACAATACAAAAACAAAAAACAGAAAAGCAATCACGAAGAAGGGAATATCAAAATTGGCGCAACGTAAGAAACATGGCCTTAGAACAAACCTCTCCTCTTGGCCCTCATTGCTGCATGTACAACAGATTTTCCACCACGCATTAAAGCTAATTTAGATAAGCAAGGTGAAGATTCAAGCATTTTCTCCACGAGCTCGCAATATCCGGCTTCTACAGCCAAGTATATCGGAGAAACTCCATCATTGTTCACATCAAATGATACATCCTGCCTCACACTAAAAAGGTAGAACGCCACATTTGCATGTTTTTCTTTCAACGCAACGTGTAGAGCCGTATCTCCGTTCTTGCTTTTAGCGGAAATTAGCATATCACACATCAAAAACTCTGTAATGTATCGAACAAGAAACTCAACAATATCGAGATTTCCTGCTCTAGCTGCAACATGAAGAGCAGTCTCAGAAATCAAATTTCCTTTTTCAAGAAGATTTGGCGATTCAGAGACTATATAATCAACTATATTTGCATGACCCGAGGCAGCAGCGATATGAAGTAGTGAGTTTTCATGATTGTCTACGAGTCGTTGAAGGATCTTTGCATCATCTTTCATCCTTTTGAGGAGAGATTCTTTGTCACCTGCTCTTACTGCACACAATATCTTCGGGTTCATAATCTCAGATTCATCACTGTCTATGAAAATAGTCAACTGATTTGGATTTAAAAGGGAACCAGTGGATGTGCTCCCTGGATCAGATATAATGCAACACTCCCTCTTCATAGTCTTGCTCATAGCTCCTGATATTAATAGTAATGAGAAAAATTCAGTTCCAAAAAAAAAAAAAGATAAGAGAGAATCACTTATAAACAAGTATAAGAATTAGACAAACACATACTCTCAAAAAAAAAAAAATTCAGAAAAATATTATCTGAGACGCTTTGAAAATTCAGAGGATGAACGATGAACAAAAATAATGATGAAAATGGAGAAAGAGCGTTTTTTTCTCACCTACGATTTCATGAGTTCTGCTGAGATATTGGATGGAATTTGGACTTTTACAAAATATTTCATTATTTTGGGACGATTTTTCAAAAGTTTTCTTCTAAGAAATTTATTCCAGTGACCACCAAAAAATGCGCAAGTCAGTCAAGATGTCACAAATAATCCTCAGCATGAAGATAATTAAGACCTTAATGAAATTATTTTACCTTTATGTTATCCCTCGAAGACTTTTTTTTCTAGTGAATTAGGTAGAAAACAACTTTTGAGACTTTAATAACCTGAATAACAAAAAGATAATGGGGTTGAGTGGGAAATTAACTTTTAAGGAGCAATGATCACAAATCCAATGATTTCTTAATAAACACGTAAGAGCATATCGTTTTTTGATGTAACCTTTATTCAACAAGTATTTAATTAAGCGATTATACCAGATACGTCCGGACTATTTTAATCTGTAAAGTGATCGCTGTAATTTGACAAAACATATGTTTTTTGATGTTTCAGACATCTTTGATCCTTCTGGGATTTTTACTCCCTCAAGGATTTTTCTCAATCAAGCCTTTTCTGGCATTCTGACACAGACCTTGGATCTGGATCATCATTTTTATTTTCAATTTTTTTGGATACTAAAAAAGAGAACATTCCATTTGTATCATTTATCTCACTTCTAGACCATAATATCCCACTTTGGGCGAAATTAATAGAAAGCTCATACTTTTCAGTATCATGTTCGTCTTCTGGACGAACATCTTTAATTGATTCTTTTGGAACCTCTTCATGTATGTTTTCAGGACATATATCTCTATAAGGTTCTTCTAGAACCTTTTCACATATGTCTTCATGACATTTTTCTTTATTCGGTTCTTCTGGAATCTTATCTCCCAATTTCTTTTTCTTTCGAAGATTTTTATTCTTCGAGCCCATTGGCCTCCCGCGCTTTAACTGAACTCGCGGTTCATTTACTTTATTCCCATCAATAACTTGTTCTGGAACATTTATTTTTGATGGAGCAGTAGCAGCGGGGACATATGATTTTTCACCCTTCTCGTATATGTGAACGTATAATTGGTTTGCCAAACTTTGCAAATGTATAATTTTCTTAACTTTCACCTCGCGTTGATGGGTAGGTGATAACACCGTATTTTGACCACTTTTAAGGATCGTTTTGAAATACTTTTTTTATGTTTTTATTGCTTTCAAGTACTTTTATTACGTGTTTCAAGTATTTGTAGTTCCAAGACTCTTTTCAGGAAACTTAGGGAAAAGCTTAACAAAATGGATAGAAGATCAGATTTTAGCTTAGAGTCAAACCGTCAGAAGTTCACCCCCGATTGAAGGCTTTCTCACCTTCTGATCCAGCTCAAATTTGGAGATCTCAAAGATGGAAGTATCAGCTTTCCAGCACACTTTACTGCTTGGCAATCCAACGGTTCAATCAAAAGATATGCGAAAAGCAAGATGTCTCATAAACCAGCCGGTAAGCGTTTCCACCTGCGGCCAACAGGTCATTCCCCGCGGTCACAACCATCCCAACCGTGGCCAGCCATCCATTCCCCGCGGTCACGCACATCCCGACCGCGACCAGCTAACTCCGAGTTCGAAGGTCCAATTCTGAAGCCCATATCATTTTCCCAGCCTCAATTCTGGAACCGTAAAGACCAGAGAGCATTAGAGACTATGAATACATGAGAGCATTAGAGACTATGAATACATATCATTTATGTCGGTTTTAAAGAGAGAAGAAGAGAGACGAAATACTTTACAGAAATTTTACTTAAAGCTTTGTTTTTAGGTTTTAGGGAGAGAGAGATCTATCTCTTGAACCCTTGTTCTTTCTTTTTCAATTTTGGTTTTTGTTCTACTTTTCAATACTATGTTTTTGATTTCGTTTATCATGTCTGAGTATTTTTATTGTTGGGTCTAAGGGATTTTCGATGGGGATATATGTGTTCGATGAGGATTCCATGAGCTATTGAGCCGAATCTTAGAATTTTTTCTTCTGAATTCGTTTTTACTGCATGAAAGTAGCATCATGAACTACAATCTGATCCAGATGCTTGGTGACACGAAAGTGTTCATCCGGTGTCAGATCTAGTTTGGGAGAGCAAAACAAACATAGGAGTGGAAACCTACCTATGGGCGATTTGTGAATGCTGACGAGCCTTAAACATAATGCATCTCTTCTTTTCCAGGGCCAGAGTGGAAACCTACTGGTCAGGGTTGAGAGAGATAGTTGTCTATGATCACGACAGTGGCGTATTCATACGTCCGTGACTCTAGTTCGAAAAGTTTAAGCTAGGATCTTATCAAATTTACTATCTAGAAATGTTTTGAATCGTTCATACCCCTGAGAAAACTTCCCTGAACCCCATCGCTTTCTTTCTTATAGATTTACTCCGATTTTTATTCAAGCTTTAGTCTAGTATCGCTACGCTTTCAATCGATTTTCATATAATCAATTAGGTTTAACCGTTTTTCTCGTTTTTAGCCATTTTCGTTAAAGTTTAATTATTAGGTCATTTTAATTCCCGTATTTTCTCTTTAAGATTAGTTTTTACGTTTTAAACACACCACCAAAACCCTTACAAAACTCACCTGGTTCTATACTTCCTTACTTTATATTTCTTTCGAAGGCTTTTGCAGGAAAGATCCTCCTTCCCTGTGGATTCGATCCCTAAGTACTATAATCGATCAGCTGTGCACTTGCGGCTATTGATTTCAATTAGGGTAAAACTTGACAACCCTCATCGCAGACACACATCAGTAGGGGGATCGAGATAAGCCAAGGTTTGTGTACACCATGTAATATCCTTTGGTGATTCTCTTGATCCTCCCGCCAACGCTGGGAATTCATTTTCATCAAAGTGACAATCGGCAAAACGTGCCGTAAACATATCTCCAGTTACCGGTTCAAGATATCTAATTATACTTGGTGACGTATAGCCGATATATATTCTCAATCTCCTTTGTGGCCCCATTTTTGTTCTTTGCGGCGGGGCTATTGGGACATAGACCGCACATCCAAAAATACGGAGATGGAATACATTTGGCTCCTTGCCAGATGTTAACTGTATTGGAGGATATTCATTATATCCACTTGGCCTCATCTGGACCAATGACCTAGCATGCAATATAGCATGTCCCCATACAGTAATTGGGAGTGTTGTTCTCAATAGTAACGGTCTTGCAATCATCTGCAACCGTTTTATCAAAGACTTAGCCATGCTATTATGTGTATGAACATGTGGAACCGAATGCTCAACATCGATTCCCAATGACATACAATAGTCATTAAAGGCCGCTGAAGTGAATTCACCAGCGTTATCAAACCTGACTTTTTTTATGGCATAATCAGGGAATTGCGCTCTCAACCTGATTATTTGGGCAATGAATCTTGTGAAAGACATATTTCTTGTAGTCAATAGACACACATGTGACCATCTACTAGATGCGTCAATTAATACCATAAAATATCTAAATGGCATGCATGGTGGGTGTATCGGCCCACATATATCACCATGTATTCTCTCTAAAAATACAAGGGATTCATTCCCAACTTTGGCTGGCGAAGGCCTAGTTATGAGTTTTCCTGGAGAACATGCCTGACATGAAAACTCTCCCGATTGAAAAATCTTCTGGTTTTTCAATGGGTGGCCACTCAAATTTTGCACAATCTTTCTCATCATGACTGATCCAGGATAGCCAAATCTTTCATGCCAAACTCTAAATGTACTAGTAAACCCCGGATTTACTGTAACATATGATTCAGTCATATTTATTTTTGTGCAATATAATCCAGAGGACATCAAAGATATTCAATGCCATTTTTATTTATATTTGCTATATGATATCCATTTCCTCGGATATCTTTAAAACCTAGCAAGTTTCTGCTAGATTTGGGAGAATACAATGCATTAGTTATTTCAAACTTTGTCCCCCTTGGCATTGAAAAATTAGCTCTTCCGAAGCCTATTATAAGATTTGCATTACCAGATATGGTACTCACGCTTCCGGCGGAGTCCTTTATTTTGAAACAGGAGAAATACTTTTTATCTTTAAGTATAGTATGTGTCGTAGCACCGTCTGCTAGACATTTATCTCCATCCTGAATCTCAAATGATGACATGTTCTGAATCACAATATGCAAGAAAATGCATTAATAAATGAAAACATGATTTTATAAATTATTTTATATTAAGAAAAAAACCCTTTTCTTGTTAACAAAAATATATTACATTTTTATTTAAAATTACATTGGTTTTTCTTGTCTTCTTCAAGAAGACTTTATATTACATCGATCTTAATCGCTTTGTTTCCGTTGATTCTTCAGGATCAACAAGGAAATCAGCGATATCAAGATGAGTATAATCACTTATGCCATCAAAGGAAGGTCCAGCTTCATCAGAGATGAAATTGGTTTCAAAATTCTTTTCTTTATCCTTTTCTTTGGCATCTTGTGATGCTCGGTACAGATCGGCTAAATGTCTTGGCATACGACATGTTTTTGCCCAGTGATTTTTCATGCCGCATCTATAACAAGCAGTTTTTTTTTGCTTTCCTGCTTCCCTACCAACATCAGTTTTTCTTCCTCGTCCACGACCTAGTCCGCGGTTACGGCCTCGGCCGTGTCCGCGTCCGTGTTCGGTTCTATTATTTTGACTGGATGATGCAACATTTGCTTCTAGGAATGGTGATGATCCAGTTGGACGAGTTTGATAGTTTAACATCACGAGCTGATTATTTTGTTCAGCCACAAGGAGGACTTGCATCAACTCCGAGTAAGTGGTGTAACCTTTTGCCCGGTATTGTTTTTGCAGGATTACATTTCCAGGATGAAATGTTTGGAGAGTTTTTTCGATCTTGTCGAAATCACTTACCTCCTGTCCACAGAACATCATTCTGGAAGTAATTCCGAACATCACAGAATTATATTCACCAACACTTTTGTATCCTGGAACCGGAGGTTCAACCATTCATGTTCGGCTTTCGGTAAGATCACATACTTTTGGTGATCAAACCTATCTTTGAGAGATTGCCAAAGATCTGCAGGATCTTCTTTCGTGATGTATTCCTCTTTTAAACTATTATTGATGTAGTGGAGCAAAAATATTATGGCTTTCGCCTTTTTTTCATCTGATGTCGTTTCCGACTTATCGATGGTATCGAGAAGCCCGTTTCCTCTTAGATGCATTTTTCACCTACTGCCCATGACAGGTAATTTTTTCCAGACACATCAAGGACATGGATTTTGAGCTTCGACATTATAAATGTATATATATATCGTAAATTTAGCGAGATATTTAATTTAAATTTTTTTAAAGAAAAACATGATAAAAACTTTTGAATATGCATATATAATAAAAATATATATTTAGGCAATATAAAAGGTAGAACTTTTTATATAATTGAGGAGGCAGAGCCTACCATAGTTTTAAAGGAGAAGGCATAACCTTTCACTCCATATATAAACAAGGAGGAGGTATAACCTTCTACTCCACAAATATAAATTCAAGGAGGAGGCTTAGCCTTCCATTCCATATATATGTTCCGAGGAGACATAGTCTACCATATGATCATATGATCGTGAAGGTATAATCTATTATACTGATCAGTTCGGGGAAGGCAGAGCCTATTATCTCGTAAACTTGAAAATAAATTGAACATAAATTTAAATCAACAGTTCGGGGAAGGCAGAGCCTATCATCCTGAAATAATATATAAATTTGAAATAGATTAAACATAGATTTAAATCTTACCTCTTTGGTATAAGAACGGATTGAGAAACGTTCGTGCTGATAACGTCTTGTAAACTTTAAATATTATATGTATATAAAAGGAGAGAGAGTGAGTGGAGACGATATGAGAGAGAAAAGTTGTATTATTAACTTCACTTTTTTTTTTGTCGTCTGAAAATCCATTTAAAGCCCAAAGGACAAAGTTTGGTACAACATATATCCAGCTAAAGCCCACATCATACACATGCAAACTAAAGATAAGGACAAAGTAAAAACACAACACGTGTATAGGTGGAGAAAAGCATCGACCACGTGGCAGGTCTAGAGAAGATCGGAAGCTTCAATTCATGCATATCGCCGTCGCCGGGAATCTCACCGGAGATGTCCGCCGTTGACAGGAATTCACGAAGCTTGTTGTCTGATTCACCACGAAGTTTCTATCGTGCACTTATGTGTACCAAATTTTACATACTCTTCCGATTAGATCCTGAGAAGTTCTTCAGCCAGAAGTTTTTCTTTCTTCATAGTTCGACTCCGATCAGCCAAAACTCATACTCAAACATCACCTTATGCCTTGAAGAAGGCTTCTGAAGAAGGGACTAAGGGAGATCTCTGCTCCCAAGCTATGAGCGGATGATACCAAAGCTTGAAGAAGAACAATACTTCCAACACAACCACCGGATCTGAAGGCATCACCTCAATAAAAGAGGAACCATCAGCGGAAGAGATGGGCAAACTAATCCGGTCGAAGCCGGAAATTTTATTTTCCGATCAAGTCGGAACCGATATAAGCGAAAAAACTTCAATCATTTCGATTGAAAGTATGAGAGAAAAAGTATTCTTACTCTGTGAAAGATATTAAATAGAGAACAGAGCAAGAATCAAAAGAACTCTCGATATCGCCTCTTTAGTCACCGTAAGGAGAGAGAAGAGAGCGATTTCCTCTGTAATTCTATCTAGGTATTATTAACTTCACTTATATCACAAAAGGAAGATGTTCCTCTATTTATAGGGAGGATGGTAGTTACAAAGAAAATATGGTTATTACCACACATAGGCAAATGAGAGGTAGGTGAAAGTTGAGGTGAAGAATCATTTATATAACAATCACTTAATTATGTCACGTTTATAAAACATTGAACGAAATATATGTCTGATTACCTTTATGAATAATTCACAAATGTCTTTGAGGCGTTTGACCTCAGGTAAAATCAAGGATTCAACCCCCCCCCCCAATTGGACATTTCTTAAGGTTGAAATTCCATCAATTATTCGCATTATATTTTACATTCTTTTTTTTTGTCGTCATTTGTTTTATAAATATTCCAAAAGGCAGAGCATATTACAACAACATATTAAAGAGGCCCAACATAATAAATAAATTAGATCCAATTAACCCCATTACAATCCACCTAATACTAAACGTGTAAACTGATCATGAAATTTCAAAACACGTGTGAGGCAGAAAGGTGAATGTGTTGCAGCGCCGCTTATCCATCATCGGAAAAGTTCTTCACTGAGCATCCACCATCGACCACCATGATGCCGTACCAGACCACTGCTCTTTCACCTTTTTTTAATTCCTCCGATTTGATCTGGTGTACATCTGAGGTTAGCAAATTTCATTTCTTCATAAAATCCATCACCGATCAATACAAACTCAAGACTTATCACCCTGTGCTTTGAAAAAATCTTTCTTTAAAAGGGGACTTGGAGAGATTGATAACTCCCAGCCAAGAGAGTATGATGCCTAAGGTTGAAGAAGGAGAATCCCAACGCTTGTCACCAGATCTGCAAGAAGGAGATATGGCAGAACAACATCCGAACAGCCAAAAAATCCCTTGCTTTACCATACAAGACCAACGATTCTTCTATCATGAGAAGAGATCCTTCTCTCCACTAAGGATTAGTGAAGGATTTCAATCACTCAAGTAGAAAGAAATCGAGAAATAAAGATAGCAAAAGAAAATCCGATGAATGGAGATAAGAGAAAAAAAAAACTAAAACATAAGAAAATCCGATCATAGTCGGAATTATTAGATCCGTTTAACCGGAAACATCCATCCGATATTAATCAGAATTTGTACAACAAAAATTGAGAAAAACTCTCTCTCTGTGAAAGATAGCAAAGAGAGAATAGAGAGTGAGGAAAAAAACTCAATTATTATACATTCTAAATGTTGGAATTCAGTGTATATGTAATATGTACGAATATATGGTGTTTATAAAATTCCAAAATATGTTAAACATTATATACATTACCAAACCAGTTCAATAAGGCGATCTTTCTAGCCTATATTTTTGAATCTTGACACATTTTATCGCCCACACAAGACTCTGGATGCCCAAAAATAACACATAGAGAAACTGCCCCAGACCAAATTGCATAAGATGTGATTCATTGTCTTGGCTACATTACCACACCTGGTTCTTTCCGTCGTGATTAATTTACGATGCGACTCAATTAGTACATTTTAGCTTAGAACAATCATTAGTAAATGAACCACTGAACAGGGGGATGCATATAGCACCAAAAAAATGAAATATATAGTAATCCAATAAGCCAAAATAAAAAACTGCAAAACATCCGAGACATCTTGATGATGGTTTTTTAAAAGATTGATGTCATATGATTCATTTTCTTTTGTTGATAGGATAAGAAGATAGTATGTTGAGCTGCGTATACTGATCCAATTCAGACAATAATCCGCACGAGATTGCTCATCTTACATGAGGCAAAAGCCTCTCACCAGCTTCGATTACTTCTCTCTTGTAGTCAGCTTAGAATTTTCTGAGAAAAAATTGTTCATTTGCAAGCAATTGTTAAAAAAATAGTGATAGAAGAATTTTTTTTTTAAGTAAATAATTAGCCATGAATAAAGAAAAACTTGAAGTGGAGCGTGATCTGCTCATTTCCCAAAAAAATATTTTAGAACGAAAGTCAAACAATTTAGACTAAAAAATGGTAATTTTCTTAGCAATTATATTACTAATCTTAAAAGGTAACATAATATTTTTTCCTATGAGTTTTTAGTTCTATTTTTTTTTTTTTTTAAATTCTATCCAGCCATGAATAAAGAAGAACTTGAATTAGAAAGTCTCACATCCGCTCAATATTCAGAAAAATATTTTGGAAAAAAATTCTAAAAATTAGGACTAAACAGAAAACTACGAATGAACCATTGTGTCTTTCCATTAAATATATTTTTTTAAAAAGTTGTGTTTTTTTGTTTAGTTTTTTTTTTATAAAAATTATACATTTCTGTGAAAACTACGAATGAACCATTGTGTCTTTCCATTAAATATATTTTTAATTATATTTTTTTATATAAATGTTAGCTATTGTATGGTTATGTCTTTTGGTTTTTTTATTTGTATATGTGGTGTTTATTTAGTGAATCTATAATTACATTTTAATAGAAAATGATTGTTGGAGGTTTAAGTGTTATGGTTATTTTGGTAAACCATTGCAACTATTGAGTTTATGGTTATTTTACTAAACATTGGAGTTCTAGAGATTATAGTCATTTTATCAACCATTGCAACTCTTGAGTTTATAGTTATTTACTAAAAATTACAACTCTTAAAATTAAAGTTAATTTACCAACCATCGCACATCTTGACTTAATAGTTATTGAACTCAACTATTTAAAATTTCAAAAATTATGTTTTAATATTGAAGCATTGCATCTTTTTAAAATAAAGACAAAATTACTTATTGAAGAGACGCAAATTTTTATTAAGAAGATATAATTTTCTACCAAATTATATATAACAATAAGACACAGTTTTTGTTTTTATTGTTATTTAGAGATGGGTAAAGATTCTATTTATCAAGCATACAACTCACCTGTTAAATATCACAAAGTTGAAGTATCTGCTACAGTATTATTAAACATAGAATGTATTATTTATTCAATAATATGATCAAATTTAGTAATTAAGTATCGACTTTTTAATGTTTTTAAAATTTATTCATGTATGATGTTTTTAAAACTTGGTTGATAATGTTTGAATTGTTATTGTGTTATCCTCCATTTAAGAGTGTAGAAGTTTAATATGAAATTGATATAATATATTTTCAAAAATATTTTGCTTGCAAAAAAGTATTAAAAATCAATGAATACTGGAAATTCAATAGAATTATAAAGTTTCTCCCAACAGCAATCTTTGATTAACAGTACATCACTTAAATTATATATATATATTTAAAATACTTTTAGAATGTTAATTTACATATATTAATTAAAAATTATTTTTGAATAGATGGTGATTTTCAACAAATATCAAACGATAGCATTATCCCAAAAAAATTTGGAATAGTGAATATTTCTATTGCTAGTCACAATGGGTCTAATTGGTAGCATTAAACGGGCACTTGGCAAGGGCGGTTAAAAAAATGCTACCAATTAGCAAGGCCGGTTGGAGAAAACGTTTGAAACCATTGTTGTAATCA